AGGGACAGTCCAGGTTCTGGAGTAGAAGTGCTACAGCACAGGCTTAGTGCAGTTAACATCGTGGTTTCTCCAGTAACTTCCTACGTACCTTCACCAGGAACACGCAGATGTGTCTCTTTTCCTTGCCAGTGTTGGGCACAGACATTCTTTAAATATTTGCTGATCTGATAGCTGTCAGTAATACTTACTCAGACTTAAATCATCTAAGTGTTTTTTTTTTAATGAAAAAATAACACCATTAGATGTTGTTTGACAACCAGTAGTGGTGGTAGTGGGTTCTCTGCTCTGCTTTTCAGTTGAGTTGATGACCCAGAGGTAAGAGAATAGACTACTGGCGTGTTTCCTTGATTGTTTAATTTATTATCCTTAATAAATAATAGAAGGGCCGGGGATTTGACTCAGTGGTTCCGCTGTCCGCTTTGCAAGTGCAAGGGCCTGAGTTTGATTCCCGGTACCCACCCCCCAAATAATAATAATGGAAAATTGGCTTTCTCAAAACATTCATAAGAACTTTTTGCAAATTAACTTTTTCTTGTTTGGTCTTTGCGTTTGGGGCCTCAACTTGTTATATATGCATGTGATATGATAATATGATGACAGATAACAGTGTGCACCTTGTCGTGAGAAGGGCAGTCTTTTTTAAAATTGAGTTTGTTGGTACATTTTAGGTATACAGTACAGTTGTGTTCATTAATCTTGCACCTTTACATGACAGGTCTTGGTTCTCATGTTTTCCCCTTGTCCCTGCCCTCCCTTCACCCCCTCCTCCCCTCCCCATTTACAAACACTTTATGTCCATCTTTTCATTTTCTCACATTTTTTCTTTTCCCTTATTACCTCTCCCCTACTGAGAAGGGTAGTCTTAATAGAGAGGCCAAGACTTTTTTTTGGTATATTTTGAATATGAGTATCAATCTAGTCACAATAAAATTTGCTTACATTTTTATATTTTAGTTAATTATGTTCATTTTATTAATCTGCATTGATTAGTGATTAAAATCACCTTTTGGCTAATATGAAACTTTGACCTTTCCGGCTTGCTCTCTGTAGTGTCTCCTGGTACTCTCCTATTCATTGCTTGCCTGTGCCTTGTAGCCAAGGGTGGCATTTTTAGTTCCTGAACATCAACTGGGAACTGCATATGGCTTGTAAGTATAGTATTTATATGGTGGATCATAAATATTTTCCAGTCTCCTGAATCTAGCTATCTATCTTCAGGTTTCCGGGACAGCTACGAACCCAGTGATATCTTGAAAAGTCAGTTAATCTCTTCTGGGTACTCCTGTGACAACACAAGCTCTAGGCCTCCCTGAGAGAGCTAGAGTAGGCTTATCTCTAAGAGGTAATTGCTGATGCTACTGTTCCCTACCCATGTGTCCGAGGACTTCCTGGTGAGAAATTGAGTCCCTCCCTGACTCGGAGAGGCAGCTGCACCTGAGGGTGATATCCACATAGTCTTTCTTTCATTCAGCAGTATTAGGTATTGAGTGCTGATTTCACGTAGAAAGCAAGTTCTCTTACCTTCGAGCAGACAGTCTAGGAGCAGAAATAGTCGGAAGATAAGAAATAAAACCCGTCTCAAGCTATCTCTGTTTAAAACATCTCAATGCTAGTAAATATACTAAGATGTGTAGTGAAGTGTTAATTTCTATATGAGGACTTTTGAAAATGAAATGTGCTTTTTGTACTTTTTAAATTGCAGCATGCAGTCCATTCAAAATCTTGGGTTAGCAGTCATTTCCATTATTGCTGGCATGATATTGGATACTCGGGGATATTTGTTTTAGAAGTTTTCTTCATTGCCTGTGTTTCTGGCGAGTATGCCATGTTAGCAGCATTTAGTTTCTTTTAACATAGCTTGATGGTCTCATTTTTACTATTAGGTTTGAATTGTCATTGTCCTCCCCTTTTCTCCAAGACATATCACTAAGGCATAATTACTTAGATTTGCCTGATTCTTAGTCTCTGTGTCAGACAGCTGGTGTCTTTATGGTCAGCTCACTGAAGATTCAAACATTTTTTTCAGGAGATTTATATTGGCAAAGGCAGCCGTAGGATCATCTTATGCTCTGTGTTAAATATTTATGCTTTTAAGAAAATTTCCTCTTAACAAGTGAAACAATTTGGAGAGTCCTGACTATGTCCGCAGTGTGAACGTGTAGAGATCAGTGTAGTTTAGGTGTGACTACTTATGCTTTATTCATTGCTTTTATTTGTAGTCTGTTATTTAATTTTTAGCTGTGCTTTGGTTAAAAATAGGAGGTACTGGGAAATTGTCGAACTAAAAATAAATCAGCATTTATTTTGTAGAGAATCTTTAAATTGTGCTATATCTGAAAATATATTCTCCTGTAACAATCAAAATTATCTTCATTAGTTTTTTTAAAATAAACTACAGCAATAATTTTTACAAGTTTTGTTTGCCTTTGTAAGGAGAAGACTGTATACTTGAAGTGTGGTATTTGCAGATCATTGCTTATGATGAATACCCTTGAATTCATTTTAATATTTCTTAACTTTAGAAGTAAGCCATCAAGTTTAGAAAATAAGTCTTTTTTTTTTTTTTTTTTTTGGTATGGGGGACTGCACTCAGTACCTTGTACTTGTGAGGCAGGAGCAATGCCACTGAGCTAAATCCCCGGCCCTATTCATTTGTTTTTAAATGTGGATCATTTAAGAATTCAGAACATTAGGTCATGAAATGTTATTTTGTGTGTGTTTATTTTTCTCATTGAGTTTATTGGTACATTTTAGGTATGCAGTAAAGTTACATTCATCACTGGGAGGGCTGGGGATTTAGCTCAGTGGTTCTGGTGCCCGCCTTACAAGCACAAGGGCTGAGTTTGATCCCCGGTACCAAAAAAAAAAAAAAAGAAGAAAAGAAAAGAAGACATTCCTCATTGGGATCTTGTACCTTTACATGACAGCTCTTGGTTCTCATTTTTCCCCTTATCCCTGCCCTCCCTTCACCCCCTCCTCCCTTCTCTACTTACAAATACTTTATTTCTATTTTTCATTTTCTCATGTTTTTTTTTCTTTTCCCTTATTACCTTTCCCCTACCCTTCCCACTTTTCCTACACCTTTAGCCCTTTTCTTCCTATTTCACATTGTCAATTATATTTTTAGGATCTTATGTACCATTATAGTTTTTCACACCAGCGAAATTATTTGGTATTTATACATGTGTGACTTATTTATTTCACCTAGGAGTATATCCTCAATATGTTTTTGTCTTTTTTTTGGTGCAACATGCAACATGAAGATTAATTTCAGTCCATAGTTTAGCATATATTTCTGTCAAACAAAACACTATGCCATTTAAAAATACTTTTTGTGGGCCTGGGGTTTAGCTCAATGGTGCCACTGCCTGCCTCTTGCAAAGGCAAGGTCCCGAGTTCCATCCCTGGTACAAACAAAGAAACAAAGAAACAAACAAAAACTTTATGCCAGATTAATTTAAAGTAAATTAAACAGTGTGCCTCACTTGGTAAGGGAAAAGCCAAGCACTGACATTGCAGATCTTTACTGCCTGTGGCGCGATGAGAGTCTAATAACTATGTTTTAATGTTTGGTTATTCATTTGTACAGTGGACATGGTACTTTTAGAATTAAAATCCCCAGAGGACTACTGTTCATGTCTGGTCTTTTGTTATTATGTGGTCATTACTGTTGATACCAGAAAACTCCCTAAGATGATCAAAAGTAATCAGCTGACAGGAAGTACTGCTCTTCCCTGGTTTCTCAGTAGTCTCTCAGGACTACTGTTTAGAGTTTTATAGAATCATAAACTTCAGTCAAGTAGTCAGCAGGAGTTTAGTGCTTGAAAGACCAGCACTTAGGGAGGAAGAGAGGTGGGGATCCCTGTGGGCAGTGGTCACCCTTGCTCTGCAGCCTATAGGAGTCTCAGCCTCTGTTTCTGACCCTCTGGTTCCTGGGCTGAGGAGCAGCCATTTCTCATGGAGAAAAGGGTGTAACTTATTTCTAGTGATTTGGGAAATAAAATAATGTGAATAGTATTAGGTATAATTGCCAGTTAATAAAGGTTTGTTTTTTGTCTAAACTTCATAATTATGATAACAGGAGCAATTGAGAAGAAATATATATTTTTAAAAAGCTCCGTGTGTTTTTTTAAAAATTCTTGGTGGCACTTTTATCTGTGGTCTTACTTTATTTGGTAAATCGTGCCTGGGGTAAGTTTTGATATTTTCCTCTTAAGCTCCGTTTTGTTGCTCTCTGTTTGCCTCTTTGAGGGCTAGTATCATGTAACAGTGTCTTTCCATTCATAATGAAAGAAACACATTTGATGACAAAATGTGGAATTAGTATCCTAAAACTTCATATTTATTGAAATTACTTTGTCTTCTGGCCAAGTCAGCTTGAGGTTTGTAATATAAAATTTTAGATGTTATTACTATATTAGCATAAGGAAATACACCATTTAAAAAATAAGCTGACTTAAAATGTGAGCTTGTTTTTGGGGAGTGCAGCACTGGGGATTGAACCCAGAGACTTTCCACTGGATCACATCCTCAAGTCTTTTTTAATTTTTTTAATTGTATAGCACTTCTCTATCAATTGTCTTTGGGGGGAAATGATTATGATAGGTATCTCCTGTCGGCTTCACTGGCATTAATGTGCCACCACGTTTCCTAAACAGAGCATTACATTACTCTAATGTCAACGAAGTTGTAGCATCACTCTGAGACCAGCAAGAATTTAAAGCAAAAGAAATTGGATATGTTGAGTGTAGACACCATGAGAGCTCTAAAACAAAAGGTATAACACAAAGGAAAAGGATTTTGGATCATCGGATGGATTGATTCTCATTTCTAAACACTTGTGCGTTAATCTCCACAACCCACACAAGCCAGAAATTTTGTAATCTTTTCTGTTAAAAGAAAAGGTCCTAATGGTCACCAGTAAGGGGGCCCTGGTGGGTGTGGCCAGCTCTGGATTGGCCCGTTGATTCTGTGACATCACATAACTGTCATAACTGCCATAACTGCCTGTGCACCAGTTAGCTATATAAGGCCGTGCCTCAGGTGGGTCTGTTGGGGGTGGAAGGAGACTATTGAGAGAGAGTTGAGTGGAGATTGTTATTGGAGATTTGGTGATTGATTTGGTGCTATGGGGAGTGTAGGACATGGTAACTCTGTGCCAAGCAGTGTTCCTGGTGAGTGTAGTGAGGGACTTTTGGATTAGGGTGCTTACTTGATATTTCCACAGTGGGTAACCATTGCTTTAGCCATTACCTGAGTCCTTCCAGTTAATTTTAAGTATAATTAAGAAAATGACTGCATCTCTCTTATTCTCTGCTGTATCTCTAGTACTTACTGCAGGGCCCAGTACTTAGAAGATTCTAAATAAAAGCCTACTGAGTGAATGAATATATTGAATAACTGAACTGATGTTGCTTGGAAATAAGACCACTTTGACCGTTTCAAGTAGCAGATATTGCAAGGTGGCACCATCTTATCCTCTAACTCTTCTACTGAAATAAAGCAGGAATTATAGATCAAGCTTTTCTTCTTTTGTGGGTGGGGGAAAACCCAGGAATGATTCAAATAATTATTAATAGTTGGCCTGAAGTGGTTTTGTATTTACTTCAGTACAAGAGTAATGGACCCACAGTTGCAACATGGCAGCAGAATGCTTCCGTATGAACGATTAGATAACACTGAGATATGTTCCTCCTTTGCCTAAAATGACATTATGGATTGCTGCTTCTTTCGCTTAGATGTTAGGAGCGAGATGATCACTGTCACGGAAACCCTGTGTACTACTTCTCCACTGTTACAAGGGTTCCTTTTAAAGTTTCCTCAGTGTGAACCCCTGGGTAAAGACCATCCTCCATCACCGTGAGCCCTATCCAAGAGTCAGACCTGAGCCAATTTAGACTGTAGACCAACGGAAGGAACAAGTTAAAGTCCGATCTGCAAAGCAGTTCTCCAGTTCCCAACCACATACGTGTTGAAGGAGCTTACAAAAAGCAACTTCTGAACACCTACGGCACGAGTGACAACCGAGTAGATGTTACTTCCCGTGTTTCTTTACTGCTTTTGCCTGACCTCCCACAGGTGCTTTTGTTACCTCATTCTCAATTCCGAGCTTTCTTCCTGCTCGGGTAGCTCAACAACAGAGACTGTCAATCCGGTTGATTATTTTATGTGTCCGCTGTGTTGTTGTATGAACCTGAAACATGCACTGGGGCAGTTTGTAATGATTCCCAGGAATCGACTGTATATATCCCTTCAACTCTCACTTGGTGGCATTGAGTTTTTACATTAGAGAAATCGGTGAAGGCTACAGATTGGAGCCTTTCCTCCAGTTGTTAAATATTTACTAGCATATCACTTAATTAACATATTAACATTATTTCCTCTCCCCTTGACCAAAGGAGTGATGGTTCTACCTTAATTCAAAGAATGACTCACCAACAAAGACTTTGAAGCCACATATTTACAAAGCAAATACCTTCCCCTCATTTTCCTGCTGAAACTCTTTTTCTTTCTTTTTCTTGTACCAGGGATTGAACTCAGGACCTTGCACTTGTGAGGCTGGCAGCAGAACAATTGAGCTAAATCCCTAGCCCTATACTCGGGTTTTTCCACAGCTTTCAGGCCATAGCTCTATTCTTAACAACACACCCCACAGTTCGTTACAACAAGCTAAAATCAAATTAGAATGACTGAGCAATTTTTGGTTAATTTATTTCAACCAGTTAAGAGATAACAGGATGATCTTAATTCCCCTAATCAAAAGACACTGGCAGACTCAGCTGGAGTGGCTCCCACCATGCAATCAGCCATCGGAGGATCAGTGTGGCCTCTGCATACTCCTGTACTGCTGACAGCATGGCCGAGTCTAGGCTTCTACATGGTGACCAGGGGAACAGCAGTGTCCCAGTCCTCAGAACAGGCAAGGCTGCCTCTCTTCACCTGTGCTCACTGTCCTGGAAGCAACTCCTCTGTGGCTCCATGGTGGAAACCCTCAAATGGACATGCGAGGAGATGAGCAGAGAGGAGCTGTGTACCATGGAGGACTGTGGGATAAAGTCACGGCTCTGCTCAACTAACCCCACCCTCACCCAGTCAGGAGGCTGTGGTCTGAGGGCTCCAAGGTGCTGGGCACTCCTCTCTGGTCTTAGGGGAGCCCCTCCTGCTGCTCCTCCATCTTCCTCCCACTGAATCCTAGCTCTGGACTCAAGCACAGCCTTCTGTGCTGTGCACCCTCCTCCCTCCCTCCCACAGGAAACACAGGTGTCCTGGACACCCTTTTCCCTCTAGCTCCCTTGAGGGGGCTGCAGGGTGACTCACCATGGCTTCTTCCCATGTGGCTGGTCTGCCATGGGTAGGACGTCCACATCCACAGTCGCTCTCATGGCTTTTTACTAAAACGGCAAGGACTCATATGAAATGGACACTCGTGTGAAAATATACCAGGCATTATTGTTGGCTGTGGTCACCACCACCCTATGCTACAGGAGACCCGACAGCAAGTCCTCATGTCTATCTGAGACTCTTCCCTCTGGCCACAACTCCTCCATCCCTCTCCCCTCTCCGCCTCACTTGAGTTCTACCCTGACCATTAAAGGTGACATCATCAGGATACAGCTCACTCAGAAAGCACCCGGACCACCCAGCCTCCTTGAGGGTTGAGGGTTCTCTGGGATTCTGCTGGGTGCTACTTATAATGGGGCCACTGCGTTTGGCGGTGCCCACAGGGTGGCAGGCAGCAGCAGCACAGGGCCCATAGGCAGCCTGTGATGCTCCTCTTGAGAGCCTTCCAGTATCGGATGCCTGCTGTTGGCAGGGGCAGAGGTGGTTCTGGAGCGAGAGCGCAGAGCTCCAAGGCCTGGCTGGCGGGACACACTGGAAATGGCAGGGTCAGGCTGGCAGGATACGCTGGGAGTGGCAGGGCCAGGGTGGGGGGACAGGCTGGGAGCGGCAGGGACAGGGTTGGGGGACCGTCTGGGAGCAGCAGGGCCAGGCTGGGGGGACGGGCTGGGAGTTGGGATCCTCTGGGTGGTCATGGGTGGCTGGGAGCCTCTGCCACCCTGTTCTCCTCGAGGTTTCAGTCCAGGGAATAAGCAGCCAGTACAGGGGACAGGCTCGCTGGCCATTCCAAGGATGTGAGGTGAGAGTGCAGGACTTTTCGGATACCATGATCACTTTCTGTGCAATCTCTTGCTTAGGCCCCTGGCAGGCCTGGCTCTGTATCAACAGGAAGGTTGCCATGCCGTGATTATAGTCCTTCTTTCTCAGAGTGTCCATCACCGTTAGAAGGTCAAAACCCATCCCGGACATATGGCTTAGAATTGCTCTTTGCGAGCACAGGGAGCGGCTTCGGAGGTCGGGGCAGCCGGACACCCTGGATCCACTGGTGCTCCAGCACCTTCTGTGCTGTTGGCTGCATGCTGTGGTCCCGGGTTGTGAGCTTTCTGATGAAGTGTTTGGTATTTAGAGATGAAGTCCGGGTAAGAGATAAGACAATGCCATAAATGATAATCTCCATTATCTTGGATAGATCCCCGTGACAGAGACGTGTCCCAGTGACCATCTCGTACAGGATCACACCCATTGCCCAGCTATCGAGGGAAGGGCCTTCATGTTCTGGGACAAAGTTCTTTCTGGGGCATAGTATACCCGCGTGCCACCAACCACAGACGCCTCCTGCCCGTGTGGCGTTGGCCAACAAAGCTCTGGCACCAGCAGGGCCCTGGATTTGTGCAGAGCTGGGCAGAGCTAGAGCCATGGGGAGCCTGGGCCCCAGAGGGACAGATCGGGGTACAGGTGAGCAGGGGAGGGGAGGGGAAGAGCAGGGGGAGAAGGGGAGGGGGCGGGAGGAGGCAGGCAGTAAACGAAGCAGAAGCTGTCTTTAGACTTTGGAGGAGAACAGTGTGTTCCCCTAGCGATCTGGCCGTTCTCAGGCCCTCAGGGACTTTCTTTTTCCTCGCCTGGGGATTGCACCGAACTGTTGCCTTGGCCAGGACCCAGGCTGTGGTCATGGGACCAGTCGGGGCCCAGGAGTCTACAGGCCAGGGCTTGCACCCTGGCCTGGACTCAGTTGGCCCATCTGTAGGTGCGGCTGAGAGACCCAGGATATAGGGTGCATGAGTAGCATCTCGTTAATTCTGCCGCTGTAAGGATCAGGGGAAGTGGAGACCCCCGCAGCAGGTCCCACCCTCCTGCGAGGCACCACAGCACCAGCCGAAGGTTAAAGGACAGGCAGAGGGAGACATGGTGACGCTGAGTCAGGTCCTGGACAGTGCTGCTGATGGCAGCAAAGACAGAGCCCCCCAAGCACATCTGGCATTTACTGAATACAATCACAAGAAGGAATCGGAAGCTGGGGAGCTGTAAATTCACCTAGTGAATTACTGCCCAACACCTGGCGTGGGGCGCCAGACAGGGCTGTGAGGGGGTTGCACTGCTTATCTTGGGAGGATGGAAGAGACCAGTACTGGGACCAGGTGCAATTAGCAAGCGACCCACAAGGTCAGTGAGAAGCACGAATTCAGGGGAGAGGATTGCAACGGGATCACGCTGACCTCAGCTGCACGTAACTCAGCAGGGCCTGGCCACGTCACAGGCCCGACTTAGGTCCTGGTGACAGTCCCTAGCAGAGGAGCAACACTGGCCCAACTCTGCTGGCTGCCAGGCCTGTTTGAGTCACACGGGGCTTCCGTCTGACTTCTGATGTAAAACAGCACATAGGGACCAGGGAAGGCAAGGGGCACGTGCTGCTCATAGCCCGCAGTACTGGGCAGGGACGCCAGGTACGTGCCGCTACTCTGAGCAGAGGTGGCCGGGACTACAGGTTGGTCTGTAACGGCGACAAGAAATCAAAGCCATTTGCACTCAGACATTTGACTTTACACTGTCAGGGGCCCCTCGTCACCTGTGGGGTTTAGCCCTGGTTTAGGTCAGCATTCAAGGCCTCACCTAGTCCTTTAGGAATAGCAGGATGGGGGAGGCTGCGTGGCACCTCCAGTCCTGGCATCAGTTCACCAGGTGGACTGCGTTTGCGTCACCCAGCAGAGGCCTTGGACGGTGGCGGGTAGTGCCTCGGGAACCTCAGGGACCTCACGACAGTGAGGCCTTTGCACGACAGTGGTCAGGAGCAGAAAGGCCAACTCGGGGAAGGCTGTCGTCTTTGCTGGCTGCCCCATGCTGTCTTTACTGTCACAAAGAGACTCTCAGAGAGCCTGCCACCTCGGGGAGCGAGTGTGAGGGGCCAGGGGAGGACAGAGAGCGGCCAGGAAGCCCCACTTCTCCGTTCCTCCTGGCAAGCGTCCAGGTAAGCGGGGAGCCCGCAGCGCCCACTCCGCCCCTGCACACAGGAACGCTGCCACGGTCCTGGAAGCCCACAGCCCGCTGTGAGGACTTTCACTGGGGACAAGACTTAGGGCGCAAAGCTGAGCACCCCTGAATAAGCTCAAGGGCAGAGAGGTAACTTATTAGATAAGCGTCTATGAGTCCCCCTCAAAGCCCACCCCCTCTTTGAACGCACTCACCCATCATCCTTGCCACTTTCTGAGGTGATAAAAAAATATAGTAAATGTTGCCGCTGAGCGTCACCCAGCGGAAAGGCAGCTCATACAACAGGACGCTGTGTCCTCGTCCACCTTAGTCACCGGCTCTGGCACCGGGTGACTTCTGGCTCCTCCCCAGAGTCGCAGTGATCATGAAAGGGACACGTTTTCAATCCATTCAGGACATTGAGGCAGCCAGGACAGTGCAGCTGAAGACCCTTGGGAAAGAGGACTCCAGGAGACACGATAGGTAGAACTCTCGAAGACACTGGTCTAGGCAAAGACTTTACGAACAGAACCCCACCTTCACAGGAAACGTTACAAGTCGGAAAGAAAAGAAAAGAACTTGGCAAGTCCAAAGTGTCTTCACCTGATTTGACCTGGGCAGAAATGGAGTTTATTAATAGCCATGTGACCGACACCTCACAGGGGACAGGGACGCGGGTTGGGGTTGGGTTTCTGCTTTTCTCAGTTAGAAAGGCCCAAGCCTGTGAGGCTGCTCTTGCCTCAGAGCCCAGCTGGAGTTTCTTGCCCTGAGCCCCAGCAGTGGAAATCACAGTTTGCAAACCAGAGCGATTCCCAAGCTCTCAGTGTTTTCCACATGATAAATGTCCAGGTTTACAATTGTAGGTGCTGAGCACCCTAGATGTCTCTAGTGGCCACTGGCCATACAGAATGTGTCCTATCTGCCCTCACAAGAGCGGTGCGTGGGTGCCTGCCTCAGTTTACGCAGAGGAGCATGGAGAGGCACTGGCTCTCACTTCGGCAGTCACTTTCTTTGGGAATCTTCTTGTCTAACCTTTGAGACCAAATGAACCCACCTTTCCTTCCGCCTCTTGGGTCAAAGCCCCAGTGCCCTGCTCAGAATTTGTTTTCCCTGCTGGATTACGAACTTCAGGAGGGCAGAAATTGCTCATGTTCCAGTGAGGAGGCATAAACCTTTGTATTCTATCACAAGTCAAGGTGTCTATACTAAGCTAAGGTGTTGTGACCATTGAGCTTGACTGTGTCACCTTCACTGCCTTAGCAGCCGCTCTGGGAAGAGAGGATCACACTGCTGTGCGCGCCTGGGTGGTCTTGGAGGGTGACCTTAGGGTCTGTATCTGGTGCCTCCCCTTCTTTCCTGCCACTGTCCCCTTATTCTGCATCCCGGCCTCCATGAACTGAGCAGCTCCATGAACTTTGCTCCCCACACCCTCCCCCATGATGCTCCTGCCTCGGAGCAGCCGACCATGGACTGAATCCCCTGAAACTGTGATCAGACCCACCCTCTCCTCCTTTAGGCCGTGAGTATCGGATGTTGCATCCCAGCAAGTGAAGAGCTAAGTGACAAAAGGGCGCCGTGTATTTCAGAACAGCTGGAGAGAGGATTCTCCTGCTGCTTTAACATCCTTGCCCCGACCTTGTTCTCTGTTCCCCACTCCAAGGATGCTGCTGCAGAGACACCTCAGGTTTCATGTTTTTGCTGTCACCTCAGCGGGGTTCCAAGCACTGCCAAGATGCGGCCTCCTAGTGACACTGGGGAGATGTCCCACCTGTGGTCTCCTGAGGTGGCCCTCAGTGTGGACTACTTGTGGTGTCCTCACGAAGGCCCCTCCAGCCCCTGCCATGCCCTGCGTCTGAAGTAAGACTGGAAGAATGACTCATGATGCTGTCTTGACCATGAGCCCCAAACCGGTTTTTTTATCCTAACCAGCATTGAAGAAATGGCTAGAGAGGGAAGAGCAGAATGAGGGGTGGCAGTGCACGCCCGTCATCCCAACAAACTGGGAGGCTGAGGCAGGAGGGTCACAAGTTTGAGTTTAGCCTGGGCAACTTCATGAAGGAAATTCCTTCAAGGGAGACCCTGCCTCAAAATAAAACATAAAGGGGGCTAGTGAAGTAGCTCGGTGTGGAGGCCCTGGGTTTGGTCTCAAGCATCACAACAAAAAGCCCTGGTTCTACTCCTAGAAATATTCATTTGAGTGGACCCAGAACAGGTGGTGCTGGTGGATTCTTAGCTGACCCTGGCTGGCCCTAGGGTTGGTGCCTTAAGGCCTTAGGTGCGATGACTGTGAAAATGTCCATCACACCATGTGCACACTTAGTAAGTGCCCACCAGACACCCCCCTCCTTTCCTCCTTCCTTTCCTTTCCCACACTTCCTCCTCCCCAGCCTCCCTCCTTGGCACCAGGGCTCTGTCAGTGGCCCAGCTTGGATCGCAGAGAGAAATCCTCCTGCCTCAGCCTCCTGCATGCTGGGATGACAGGTGTGCACCACCACACCCAGGAACAGAGGAAAACTTTAGAGAAAAATTCATTTAAATTGCTTTGCAGTAGATGTTTTCTTTTGATTGAAGTGGCCAGAAAGGGTGAGACAGAACTCAGTTTTCACTTAAATCCACACCCACATGGGGTCTGTGACCTGGACCCTTTGTCTAAACCCCAGGATAAGAGGTCACAGGATCCTAGCCTTGCCTCTGAGGCTGTGAGGACGTGTTGAAGCCTCAAGAGATCCAGGCACACAGGAAATCAGCCAAAGTCAGTAAGAGATGCTATTGCGGAGTCCCCGCCCCGCCCCTCCTCTGGACTCGGGGTGACAATTGGTATCCAGTAGGGAGCGGCAGAGAACCAGAGAACTAGGTGCCCTGTGGATCCTTTATTTTCCAGTACTGAAGATTGAACCAGGGCCTTTGCATTGAGCTACCTCTACGGTCATTTTTAATTTTTTAAAACAGAGTTTCACTAAGTCATCGAATTTCCCAGGCTGGGCTCAAATTTTCTGTCCTCCTTCCTCAGCCTCCCAAAGTGCTTAGATGACAGGCCTGCGCCACCACCTACCAGATAGATGTCTGCCTAGAAAAATAAGAAAAGGCAGAGTTGGGTCCTCAGGGCCTGAGGAAAGCCAGCTAGGTGGTCGTTGTGTAGAAAGGGCTGGTCTCAGAATTACCCCAGTAATGTAGGTTTTCAAGACCTTGAATCCCACACTCAGTCCACGTGGAATATGATTCCCAGTGTTGAACTTCTGGCGTGGTTAGCAGCTCTAGTGCAGCCAGGCTGGGGAAACTGGTTGGAACTCTGGACTGACAGTGTAAGCCCGTGTGGTGCAGAATGGCCTGGTCAGCCCTGGCCTACTGAATCAGGGCTGAGTGGCGAGGATCTCTGGAGACTCCTGGGAGTTAGGTCAGGGGCCCAGTGTCCTTTCTGTCTGCTCTCCCCAGACACCTAACACTCAAACTTAGAGGGGCGGAAGGTTACTTGGGCTCCTGGCCAGCTACCTTGATGCAGAAGCCGTGGCAGATGGGGCCTGGCGGAGGAAAGCGCTCACCTCATGGTGGCTAGGAAGTAGAGCTCAGAGAAGAGTCAGAGAGGGAGAGGCAAGGACCAGAGAAGTCCCTGAGACCTAGCCCCTGTTAGCCCATGGAGAGGTGACTCCATGCAGGCCCCCCTCTGAGATTCATCAACACCCGACCATCCCAAGGGTAGACATCGCGTGTGACCCTTGCCACCCCTCTGAGTCTCAGCTTCCTCATCTTTCCTGGGATGACAACCATCCATGCTGTGTGTGGGTCTCCACGGTAGCTTCCGAGTCCTCGGTGGTGGTCCATGCATTTCCTGACACGTCTTTCTGATGGTGGCCTCGTGTGGTGGTGGGAACTCTCCACTTGGGCATGGAACGAGTGAACCTTTGAGCCAGTGGAGACATCAGGACTATGGGGCTCAAGTCACACAGCTGTGGGTGGAGAGGTTGAGGCCAGAGTCAGTGACGGGGCCAGTGGTCCGCCCTGCTGCACGGTCCCGGTGGAGGGGCTTGCGCGAGGCCTCTCCACAAAGCCCAGCACCTTCCTTGGTCTCTCCCAGCTGCTCCCAGCTCACTACCTGTGTGAGGCCCTTGGGCCCTTCAGCTCACAGCCACCTCTGTGCCCTCTGGGCTTCTGGAGCTCAGGGTGGCACTGTGACGCTGTCCCTTATATCTCCCTGTGAATCTTGTCTCTG